TCTAATCACATCAGCCATACCATCAGGGGCTCGTTCACCTGCACATCTACCAATGTGATATATGCCATGTGCCAGCAATGCCCCTCTGCCATGTACATTGGCCAAACCGGACAGTCTCTACACAAAAGAATTAATGGACACAAATGTGACATCAGGAATCATAATACTCAAAAACCAGTGGGAGAACACTTTAACCTGTCTGGTCATTCAATGACAGACTGCGGGTGGCTATTTTACAACAGAAAAACTTCAAAAACAGACTCCAAGGAGAGACTGCTGAGCTGGAATTGATATGCAAACTAGATACAATTAATTTAGGATTGAATAAGGACTGGGAATGGCTGAGCCATTACAAACATTGCATCTATCTCCCCTTTTAAGTATTCTCACACTTCTTATCAAACTGTCTGTACTAGGCTATCTTGATTATCACTTCAAAAGTTTTTTTTCCCCCTTACTTAATTGGCCTCTCAGAGTTGGTAAGACAACTCCCACCTGTTGGGGGGGGGGGGGGCTGTGTGTCTCCCCTCAATATATGTTCCATTCTATATGCATCCGAGGAAGTGGGCTGTAGCCCACGAAAGCTTATGCTCTAATAAATTTGTTAGTCTCTAAGGTGCCACAAGTACTCCTGTTCTTTTTGCGGATACAGAACAACACGGCTGCTACTCTGAAAACTAACCAGAATGAATTTTAAAGTACATTTTACATGAGGAAGAGCCTATTTTGAAAGTGTTTACAACTGATTATTGATCGCACAAAACATCTCTTCCCCAGTTCTCAAAGGACACCTGTTTTCATGTAATAAATTGTATAGATGAGATGCAACAAATAATCACAGGCAACTAGTCTGTATATCTCATCAAATCTGTGACAACTAAAGATTTACATAAACAATATACCTTTCATACAAATAACATGCCTCATTGGAATAAGGCAGTCCAAAAGAAACAAAAAGGCATTACTTGTACCTGTTGGTTGAGATTAGCGCCTGTTTGCAGTTGCCAGAGTAGGAAAAAAGCTTGTCCTCCACAAGCAGCCAAGTGAGCTGGGGACTGACCAAAGGCATCTGCGGGTGCATTCACCCCAGTCCCCGCCTCAAGCAGGAGGCTCAAGCCGTCAGACTACAGGGGGGGAAACAAGTGTTTTAAAAATACATTTAGCTTCACGTTATTCTATTTATCTAAAAGATAAATTATACTGTAGCAGAAAAATCTGAAGGTATCCCCGACCTTCCCCTTCACAGAGAATCAACAGATCATCTAATGTTTATGCCCCTTTCTCATAGGCTTTTCAACTTGAAAGAACCAGGCTATTAGCTTTGTTGGAACGCAAACCACCAAATCGAGAGAGAAACTGGCAAAATCCTGCCGACATCAGTGGGATTTGGGTTTAGACAATAGTGGTAAAACTACATTTCAAACAACTCAACACCTGGACTTCTAACAATGCACGGAAAAACGGTACAAACTCCTCAGCCTCACCTCTGAGCTGCAATCCAGCATCATCCACATTGTCTCTTTTCGGCTGAGGATTACTTACACCGTGTTCTGAGACGGCTGCTGCGGTGGGGTGAATGGAGAAGCCCAGCACGCCCGACCCCGATTCTGTCTAGTGCATGTAGCGCGTCAGACACCGTGCAAGCGCTAAAAAGGAACCTCCGTGCTGAACTCCCCTCCCACTCTGCTGGGAACCGGCTCCTGCACGTACACAAACAGGAGCACATGCAGGTCAACCCGCCTTCTTGTACGGTGATTGGTTCCTTCTGATGATTTCTCCGGCAGTCCTGGGCGGGCTCTCCTAGCATGTGTTTCAGTGTACAGCGCAAAGGAGGGCGGGGCAGCCCAGGGCTTGTGGCAGGTGGGGCGGCCATGGAGCATAGTGCAGCTAGGCACGTATCACACACATTCACACACGCAGACCCACACCCCTTCGCTTTCTGCTGCAGCCGCAGGAGAGGAAGGAAGAAAAACAATTCCTCTAGACTAATTATTGGTCTCTCTATGAAGCTATAGATAGCTAGACATATGCTTCTTCATGCACGTATGCGGGAGCGTGAAACAAAGCCTCTCCGTGAGAAGGATTCTTTCAAAACTCCTGCTGTCACACTCATCCAGAAGTGAACGGTTTAAGCAAGACCCACACTTCTCTTATCTGCTGTGGTTTATCCCAATTCACTTATTTTGAAAACGTGTGTGTGTGTGAGTTTAGAGCTTGCAAATGGAATAGGTGCATAACTAGCTGGCCCATGCTGACCTGCCAATGCATCTCAACTCTGATGTGGAGAGACCACCTCTCCAGATCTGAATTAGGGGAAAACTGATATGATCCATCATTTTCAACCAACAGAAGCCAGGCTATTAACAAGATCATCTTCTATCTCCCAATTCAAGGACTGCCTCTAGGAAGAAGCTAGTAGTTGTCTATGGGCCCAGTCTGTCATTGGACTCTGTTGATATTGCCAACAATTATGGCAAAGTTATTACCAACCTGAGCTGGGTTTGTACTGGTGACTTATGGAAAGGACTGTGTTCCAATCCTTAATTGCAAATTCATTTCTATTAAAAATAAATCTAGCCAAAATAGAACTTTTATTTTCAGATCCTCAGTTACTAAGCCATTGAGGTTCAGATGTTGTCACAAGCCACACAGACAAAATCAAATTATATATAGACCTGTATCCATTGAAATAGAACAACTACAACCTATTCAGAAATAGTTGCTATCAAGCACAATTGCTTGACAACCATTTTCAAACATGGAGGTAGTTAGCATTCTCTGAGCAATTCCAGTGTCTGTGGTGGACAGGGTTTTGTTGTTTTAAACCAATCATATTTCAAGAAACCATGCTATAGGCCTCCCCAGTCATAGGCCTATTTTAGCACAGTTTTGTAACACAGACATGTCAAAATGTTTAGTATGGACAAAATACTTGTTAGGTTCATGTTTCAAAGTAACTTCCTGTCTTGTCTACACTATTAAATCAACTGTGGCAGGAGATTGAATTACATGGCAGTTTCCCTTCAGGAGACTGAACTAGAGGACCTCTCGAGGTCCTTTCCAGTCCTATGATTCTATGGTATTTAAAATAAAGTCTTACAGTACAGACTGAACTGAACTCTGTTTTAATCATGTCTCCAATTTGTAATATAGCCTGGAACTTTTCCTGCCTTAAAACTTTAAAATGAATTCTGTTCCCTTAGCAAGCTTTTTTTGACTCCATGACACATGCATTCTTGTTTGTTATGGAAGTTATTCCTGACTACTGGCATAATTAAAAAAAATATATATCACTGTATCATTTGTTTTGGAAAAACAAAACTGAATGGACATGGTAAATAGATTTAGAAAGAAAAAGTGAAATTTGATCCCTGCGAACCTTAACAATGTTCCTTTAAGAGAAGTTTAGTTTTACAAGACCAATGCATTTATTTTTAATATATAATCTCTCTCATCCTCCCTTTCCTACTTAGAAAATTAAATCACATATTGAAATAAACAGAAGTTATGCAAAATAGGTGGAATATATATAACAAGCTGCAGAGCTCCAGATACACATGTAATATACCAAGTTAGTGTATGTACTTCAATTTGTGAGCATTTTTGCTTCTCTCATTTCAGACTGAAATAAACACATCTGTGCAATTACTATATTCAGTCTTTTATTCCCACACACAAAACCAAGCAAATTCCATCCAAAAAACACTTCGGATTTCAAATGCACAGGTACCTGAAAAATCAAAATTATGGTTTCCACAGCAATCATAACTACACTGCAGATGTATAATTCACTTCTGGATATAAGGCTAAATAGGGCCTGGATCACCCCACATTTTAAGGCCCCCAATACATCTGCATTGCCCTACAGGTTCTGGCTTCAAGCCAAACCTCACCCAAAATATCTCACCCTCCCAGACTGGCCACCTGCACAACAAATTGTCTCTTATCTTCCTCCTACCTACAAATTCTTGATCTTCCTGCCAAGCCCAGCCCACCCGAGTAGGCACCAGGTTTGCATCAGTCAGCTGTACTCCTCCCAGTCACTGATCGTAAAACATGGATACCAAGGTTCTATCTTAATCCACTCCTACATAAAGTCTAGCACTATATACAATAATACAAAATGCCTCCCAATTACAAGCCCAAGTTACAGTGGCTGTGGAAACTTACTTTTTAAAAATTCTTATGCATTGACAATTTCAACTATAATACTGTATTAACATATTTTGCATATGTATAAAGAAATGAGACTGAGCATAAGAAATAGCATAAGACATGTGCAGTTTTATATTATACCCACACACATACCTTCAGCTACCCAAGAAGTGTAGGAATCCAGTATAACTGACTTTCCTGAAGTGGGTCGTTGCTTTTGCAGAATGTTCTTTTTATTTCATTTATCAAATGAAATAATTTAAAAAATGTCTTTAATGTGATATATTAAAGAACTCCTCTTTAATAAAATCTTAAATTTTCAAAGTATGTTTAGACATATTGGACCATATTCTTCCTTGGAGTAACTCTAACAAAATTAATGGAGGTGAATTTTTACGAGTCTGTTGGAGCCTAAAATCTGTTGGAGCTACTGAAGAAAACAAAAATTTAGCCCTCAGCTTTAGCCACATATATCTGAAAGCATTCCTCTTACATTTCTACTGGTGGCTGCTTTCTCCATTGCTATGGAAACAGATTGCACTGCCAAAAATGGAATGAGGAGCTTTCAAACATCACTTGAAAAAAGAGGACAAAATGGGAGTTTTGAAACTGATTATTTTAAAAGCACCTGTAACACTGTCTGGAATGGTTCACGACTGTGAATCCCAACCACAGGACAGACTGTCAAAAGTAGGGCAGACACCCCAAACTGGGTGAATATTCTATAATTAGATTTCACCAGTAACAAAAAGGAAATCCTAGATCACTATAGCAGTCTTACCATTGAGTCACTTATACCAAAAATCACAAAATATTCAGGTTGCTCTCATGCCCCAGAGGCCAGTCACTTACCCCAGATTAATTTGTACCTTACATCTCACATCAAAGACAATGCTGATAGCCAATCCTATAATAAACTAAATAAGGATTTATTAACTAGGAAAAAGAAATGAGAGAGTTATGTACAGTTTAAAGCAGGCAACATATATGCACAAATGAGTTCAGTCTATGGTTCCAAAAGGTAACAGAGATATAATAATCTGTCAGAACTGAATCTCTTTTAGGGCTAATCCCAGGTTGACCCTGGAGATCTCTGCTTTTGTTTCTAGTGTCCGCCCTTGTCAGAGTTCAAACAGCAAAGAGATGAAAAATCTTCTCGTTCACTATTTTTATTTGCTTCTTCCAGCATTTAAATCAATGGGATGAGGCCTTCTTACTCCATGGGTGGATGGCCAATTAACAAAACTTTTGTCCTACAATGGCCCACTTAATTTTGATAGCCCTCCTGGATGGGTGGAGGTGGAGCCACTCTTCCCATCTGAGGGCTTGTCTACACTGGCACTTTACAGCACTGCAACTTTCTTGCTCAAGGGTGTGAAAAAACACCCCACTGAGCGCTGCAAGTTTCAGCGCTGTAAAGTGCCAGTGTAGACAGTGCTCCCAGCGCTGGTAGCTACGCCACTCGTGGAGGTGGGTTTTTTAGAGAGAGCCCAGCGCTGCACCACGACTACACAAGCCACATTAAAGCGCTGTCATTACAAAGTTCGCCTCTGGGCTTCAGATGTAATTTTTCCCCAATCATACTTTCAAAGCTTGCAGTTTTTAATCACTGGAAAAATATATTATAAAAAAAAAACAGAGGGAAAACATCTTAAAACAATTTCCCCACCATTTTTGTCTCTGCCTTTTCATAGGAGTAATGACCCAATGACTTGGCTAGAATATTTAAATACACTGCAAATACGTATTTACATATGCAGTTATACTGGTTACCAGTATCGTTGGAATCTCTGTCAGACAATGTAACACCTCCTTTTATAATGCTCGTTTTATAAATAGTATCTACATACAGTAAGGACTATAAATCAACAAAGAGATTCAGGTGACATCATAAACAAAGAGCAAACCTTGACTCATTTGTCAGTGTTACCAAAACCTCAAGATACAATGGAGCTTTAGTTCCGCAAGTGGATGGATTTATTTAGAAACAAAACATCAAGCTACCAAGAGACCTTCTCAATGATCCAATACATTGGGCTGCTTACCTCTCAGATAGCAAATAAATAACTTAGTGTGTTTAAAGGTCAGTTAGGCAAGCCTAGGAAGGAGAATACCAAACTCTTGATGCTCCACAGGTCACAAGGTTTTCTCTACACTGCAATGTAAGTCCAGGCTTAGTGGTACTCGAATAAGCTGACCCATGTTAGAGAACTCGGCTTGAGCATCTATGTTGATTCTTAACTCTACATTAAGAGACTTTTCTAACCCAGGCTCAAATCTGGGGCCGTCATGCACACTGCAGCATGCTGACCTGAGTCAAACCAACCATATTCCAGAGCCCTTAGCACCCTCCCAAAATGTGGTTGCTCTAGCTCTTTGACTGTGAGGCACTGCATGAAAAAAACTTTACTGCCCACCCTCGATGTTACGGGAAGTTTGAATGGCCTGCTAAGGAATCATTTTGGTCTGTGTGCTCCCAGAGAAGCACCTTTTGAATAACTTCTCTTGCTTATGCTTTCACTGCTATGTCATGAAATGGGCAGAGCTTCCGTGAGGTGCTAGTGGACATTTTGGCGGCATTTTCTGTCCTATCAAAGGTGGATTTCATGATGGAGGAAGAGGAGGAATAGGCAGAGGAGGAAGAGTATTGTGGCATGGCAGACTTGCACTGGCAGATGCTGTTCGGTACAATCATCATAGCTGCTGGTGCCCCCTACATAGATCAGCACTTCTGGCACAGGACCACAAGCACAGACTGGTGAGATCAAACTGTCATGCAAATGGCTAGCAACGGGATGACCAGCAGTGGGTCTAGAACTTTTGCATGAAGAAAGACACATTTCTGGATCTTTGTGAGTAGCTTACCCTAACTCTCCAGTGTAAAGACACACACTTGAGGGCACCCTTGCCTGTCCACAAGCAGGCTGCTATAACCGTCTGGAAACTGGCCACCTCAGACTTCTGTTGTCAACCAGTTTGGTGTAGGAAAGTCAACTGTGGGTAAAGTGACAGACAAGGTTTTTGAAGCTATCAGGTGTGTGGTTTACCCTAAGGTGGCAGGCATTAAAGATATTCCTGAGGTAATTGCTGGCTTTGAGAGAATGGGGTTTCCTAACTGCACCAGTGCCATTGATGGGACTCGTGTGTCCACAGTTTGCCCTCCTCTAAGAGATCATGAATAAGGTAAGTTGCTCTAAACCGATGGGAAAGAGCTATCCTATAGGCTTAATAACTTCATCTCCACAAGAGGCGGTAGCTATATTGCCGGGAGAGCTAGTGCTGTCTACACTGGCACTTAGGTCGGTATAACTGCATCGCTCAGGGATGTGGAACTCCATGTGGTGGGAAGGGGGCAAGGGAGGGGGACACCAAGACTCAGGGATACAATCCGCCATTAGCAGATACACACCAGTAGCTGGGCCTTCTCATAATTGTTGCATTGGTCCTTACAGTAGAAAACTCTCCCATTATTGTAGTAATAAACTTTGAAACTTACCGGGCTCAGGGATGGCTTCTGTCTTCTCTGGATTTGCTGCAGGCTTGGCAGTGAGTGGGTGTTCCTTGGGGGTGGGGAGCATCAAACAGTTCCTCTGAGTATGTACCCAGAATTTGGTGTTGATCCTGTCCCACAGCCTGCTCTGGACTAGTTTAATAAACAGTCACTTCATGCTCCTCACTTGGAGCCTGCTGAGGGGTCGCATCAGTTCCCATGCTGGATTCAGGGGACAGAAGGCACCGTCCTGGCTGACCACAGTTAGCTCTATGCTGGGCGCAGTGCCCAGCACCTGGTTAAACCCCTCATAAATCAGGCATGAAGTTGCTGAATTGATTGAGGTGTGGTTCTGGTTTCTGTTCTTCTTGTACTTACTCTTGAGCCATTTAATCTGCTCCCTGCACCAGTAGCGTAGCTGGGGGAAGCGGGGGAGCAGCCGCTCCCCCACCAAGCACAAGTGGCGCCTTTTTAATTTTTACTCACCCAGGAGTGGGGAAAAAAGGCGCCACCCGCTGCGGCACTTTTACTGACTGAGTGGCGCTCCGGGTCTTCAGCGGCACTTCAGTGGTGGAACCTTCACTCGCTTCAGGTGTCTTCGGCGGCTCTGAAGCTTCATCACCAAAATGCCGCCGAAGACCTGCGGAGTGAAGGTCCCGCCGCTGAGGTGCCGCTGAAGACCTGGAGCACTGCCCCGTCAGTAAAAGCGCCGCCAAAGACCCGGAGCGCTGCCCCATCAATAAAAGTGCAGCAACAGGTGGCACCTTTTTTTTTTGCTCCCCCTCTTCCCTCCACTGCACTGGTCACCATTCTGGAAAATTTTAAAGGCTATCAGCTTTTTAGCTATCTGCTGGTACATGTGGTCATTCTGGTATTTTTGCTATAGTCCACAGTTTTACTGGCCTTGCAACAGAAATTCACCAAAATCTGGCTGTGCTCCCGTGACCAAGAGGTGGTATGCTTGTTCTGTTTGGTCTCCACTGAAAATGCAGGTGGCTCTTCAATGGTGTTTTTGCAGCTCAGTGATTAGGAGACAATGGAAGGGTTAATGGCAACTCACTGAGCTGCTGCTGTATGCCAAGGGAAAGTGGCTTCCATTTTCAATGGACTAGACTAGAGATTTTGGGGATAGAGAGGACTAAGGAAGTAGGCGCATAGGATTGTGGGACATAGGCGCTGACTTCTGCTGGCGCCGGTGGTTGCTCGACCCCTCTCTGCCCCCGGCCCTGCCCCAACTCCACCCCCTCCCTGCCCCTATTCCAACCCCTTCCCCAAATCCCTGCCCCGGCTCTGCCTCCTCCCCTGAGTGCGCCACGTTCCTGCTCCTCTCCCTCCCTCCCAGAGCTTGTTATGCTGTGAAACAGCTGTTTTGCGGCAGCAAGCGCTGGGAGGTAGGCGGAGAAGCAGGGATGCGGTGCGCTCAGGGGAGGAGGCAGAGGCGGAGGTGAGGTGGGGCGGGGAGGGGAGCTTGGCTGCCGGTGGGTGCAGAGTACCCACTAATTTTTCCCCATGGGTGCTCCAGTCCCAGAGCACCCACAGAGTCGGCGCCTATGTTCTGGGATACTTCTGGCAGACTCCTAGGATGCAAGTCAAGCGGGGCTGTATCTACACTGCAAAGCAATAGGGTTCATACCTGAGTCATGGCTTGACTTGGGCTCTGACCCTCCATTCCCACAGGCTCCTGGGACCAAGGGTCCTGGGTTAGCATGATTTATTATGTGTAGATGGAAGGGGAAGTAAGCTTGAGGCTCAGTGTGAACCTAGGTTTATATTGCAATGCAAACATATCCATACAGCTGCTCTCATCTTTAATACAGACAGGGTGCTGGAACTAGGGGAGCAGCAGCACCCCCTGGCTTGAAGTAGTAATAACAACCAAAGACATGGTTTCTGCTTTCAGCATCCCC